CCGGACAAGGATCCGGATAGTCAGAAGGATCGGAATCACATGACCCGTAACTTTTTTTTCGCCATGGCTAGGGTACTAGTGACCTGGTGGGTGGAAACGTTTTAAAAGGGCAGTATACTTACGTTGTCGCTTTAGTGTTTTTACTAAACTTTATATTATTTTATTTTCAACCATCAATCGAATATTAATGTCTACCGAAATTTATGAAAAAGTCTATAATTTTCTCACCGCCTCCCCCATGGAACATATAACTGCTGTTTCTGTCATATACCAGGTTATAGAAGATGAACCCTGGATTTCAAAAGAAGAATCGAGAACAATAGTGCAGAATGCTATTAATTCTTCACTAAATATATACTCTCAAAGTACGTTAACCCAAAATAAGCTTCTCAAGATTCTTGCCCAGGTTAGTTATTAATTTTTTAAAATAAGTTTTATTATAAATCGAATGATTAAGGCGCAAATATTGGTTCATCTCTGAGAAAGTGAGCATAACAGTTTAGACATCCTATTAGCCCGCAAGTAGGGGATATTATCCTTGGACGCGTGGAGGGTGTTAATCTGTACTCATATGCGAACTTTAATGTTGTTTACTATGATACCAAGCAAAGTCTATTGCGTATTGGCCATATGTAATAGTAACTTTGAAACCATCTGACGACGCGCGCGATTTTTAAATATTTATTTCCGGAAAGATCATGATCTAATTTAAAATTTTTCTGCGCCAGTACGATGATGCTTTTGAAGGAGTGTGTAGTTTACGAGATATTGGAGCGGTAAAAACGGTATGTTACTGGTATATAATAATATTAAAAAAAACCGTATTGTATTATACTAACTTTTCTCATATAAAGAATAAAGAAAAACCTCTCAGTTCCGAGCAGATTGAGAAAAACATCTCGGAGTTGAAGTCGAAACTTATAGTAAGTATTAATTGTTAATTAGGCGATAAATACTATCTCTAACTCCTAAATATAATTCATCAGCAAAATTCATCACCGCTTTATGACGAATTACTTAACTCTTTGGGGGATGTAGTTGTTTCTGATTTGTCATGGAAAGATTCTATCGCTAGTCAGGTTATTAGCGATGACTCGGAGCTAGTTAAGAAATTGCCGAAAAAATTAAAAAGGGTCTTTATGGTAGTTAATGATGTTACTATCACACCTTATGTAGGATAATATCTTAACTTATTTATAGGAACCAGCTCGTAAGATGGTACCTAACCCCTTACCACCAATTGTTCGAGAAACATGTAAAGAGTTTGCGTCGGATTATAACAAACGACAGATGGAGGTCTTACCGGAAAAATTGGAACATGATAAATCTTGGAAAGAAGGAGACGAAATTCTCGTGGAAGTTACAAAAGGAATCCTCAGCGTCTTGAGTGATACATGGAATAACCCAGCATTTAGTCCAGAATTTATAGAATCGCAGAATGAAGGGACTTACGTGACAAACATCATTATACCTACAATTCGAGCTGTGTTAAAAGATCTTCCCTTTGGAAAATCTTCATATGTTAGCACGTAAGTTATGTTTTCTATATTATTAGGCGTATTCAGAGTGATATTAATTTTATCTTTATTTAGCTCAGAGAAACAAAGTATTGCTAGTGCGGATAGAAGAGGTGAAGGGCATTCTGGAAGACGACCGGATATAATGTTTGTATTAAAATATGGTGATTATGTTTATGAACTCATATATACTGAATGTTCCCGCATAATTTGCACCGAGCGTAAAAAAATAAATGATAGCGTTAAGTTGTGGAGAGAAGCTAATGATGGAGTTTTTTGGACCCGTAAAGGATGTTATCCGGAGAAGGGTAAATTTGGGATAATTGGAATTCAAGTTGCTGGTATGTTCTTTCTCCTACTTTTATCTTCTTCATATAACGAATCTATTTTTTAATATAAAACAAATTTTTATAGGGCGTGAATTACATCTTAATGTACTTATCAGGGATTCGGGTGATGTACACAGATATTTTCATCTTAAATCAACAAAAATCCCCATCCAACAAGCTGAAGAGAAAGATGTAACAGAATTCGTGGAAACTTTGTTGATTTTGCGGGTATGTTGTAACGAGAACGCAACTTAGAATTTGTACTAGTAGCTAACTTATTTATATTTCATAGAATATTTTAGTAGTCAATATGAGTCTTATATTTCATGCACAGGTTCCTAGATCACGTAGGCGTATGGAAAAAAGTTCGACTGTTTCCTCCGATCCCGAGTAGATTATAATTTATTTTTATTTTTTACTACATCAATAAAGCTGGCCCTGGTGGCTATTTTCGTATATTTAATCATGATTGTTTTTACATGTTTATTTCGTGGAATTTATTATGTTATAACGTTGTATGTATACTAACTCTCATAATATGATCGAGAATTTTTTTGGCAAAAGTGATCGGCGTTCCGAAAAAGAACGCACTAGTATTTTTTTCGTGTATTGTATAACATCCTCATATAGTCACATCTGGAAATTAATTATATGCTTGTAGCACACCCGAAATAGATTCCGCGCCCAAAATAGATCATACAACGATTATCCCAGATATAGAACGACACATTATCAGTTGCCTCATCATGATTGGACGATCGTCGTATATACCCCTTTTACCAATTACTTTCTTCCCACGCTTCTTTTTTTCTGCGAAAGTATACGCTATTTAAATAAAATTTAATTAATAAAAATTTTTACATTAACTTTACAATTAAAGCAACTCTTTCAGAAAAAATCTAAAAAATATGAAAAAAATATATGTTAAACTACAACTAATAAACTTTATTTTAATATAAAAATAAAAATAAATTATTAATAAAATTATAAATTTTAATATAAAGAGAAAATTTCAATTTTCATTATATTTTATTAATAAATTTAGCCCCTGAGTCATTACTTTTGATTACCACTGTATATAGACTTTTTTCTAAAAATTTTACCTTATTAAATTAATATCCTTAATTATCAAGATATAATTCAAACTTATTAATAATATTAATAAGCTTAATAAATAAAGAAGTTATTTAATAAGATTATATATATTTTATTTTAAAGTATAAATATAAATAGTTAAATAATTAAGATTAAAACTATAAAATAGATTATAATATTTAATTATATTCTTTATATATCTTGAATTTTTATTAAATTCTTCATCAATAAAAAAAATTTAATTTTATTATTTCTTATTAAAATCATAATAAAATATTAATTTATTAAAACTCTAATATATAAGTTAATGATATTATATTAATAAAATACTTTGATCTAATAAAAATTATAAATTAATCTAATTATAAATATTATTTAAATTAGTTGAATTAATAATAAGATAAATTAAAAGTATAAGTTTTATTTTATTACTAATTAAAAAGTTATAATTTTTAATAAAAATAAACTTATTAATTATTTATATAATTTTAAAGATATAATTAATTATTAAAATATCTAGATTAACTTTTATTTTATCATTCTATAAGATAATAATTAGTTTATTTATAAAAATTTTAATAAAAATTCTAATAACTTTAACAAAACTAGATAATATTTATTAATATAAGATTTTATATTTATTCTTATTATTAAGATAAAATTAATTTTGATTAGATAATAATAATAATATATAATAAAAATATATAGAAGGTAAAAAGAAATATTAGATGTTTTGCATATTTTTAAATTAATATATATTATTAGATCTTGTATTTTTTTTAATAATTATTTTATAATAAATTATTTACATATAGTAATGATCTATAATTAAAACAAATCTTATTTTCATATGATGCATTTAGATATTATAAAACTATATGCAATTTCCTCTCAAAAAATCACCCTTTGAATTTTACTATATGATATGTTATAAAAAGAATTAACAGAAAGTCAGAAAGATGAAATTATTATTACAAAAAAACTTGATTATATACATATCAAGATCTCTAAGGCTATAGTTTGTTTTGTAATCTGCATATTAAAAGTACATAAGCTTAAAAAATCATCTAAAAAATGATCAGATCATCTACCAATTAATAACAAATTTACATATAATTATTCAAAACTTCAATAATCTAAAATAAAAATTCTTATTATTAAACTCTTTCTTAGGTTATACAAAATATTAGAATCATAATATAAATATCTGAATCATTCTATAAATAAATAAATAAATATCAGAATCTTCTATAAATAAATAAAATTAATTAAAAAAAATCTTTTAATATTTTTTTTATCTCTCTCCATGGATAATCTAATTATTTTTTAGATAATTTTTTAAGCTCATATACTTCTAACATATAGATTACAGAATAACCTATAATTTTAGAGATCTTAGTATTTGTGTGATCAAGTTTTTTTATAATAATAATTTCATCTTTCTAACTTTTTATTAATTCTTTTTCATAGCATATCATATGATAAAATTTAAAAAGTAATTTTTTAAGAAAAAATTGCATATAGTTTTATAATTTCTAGATATATTATATAAAGATAAGATTTGTTTTAATTATAGATTATTACTATATATAAATAGTTTATTATAAATAATTATCAAAAAAATACAAGATCTAATGATATATATTAATTTAAAAATATGTGAAATATCTAATATTTCTTTTCATTTCCTATATAAATAATAAAATTTAAATATATTAATAAATATTAATAAAATAGATAAATATTATATAAATACTTAATATAAATATTTTATTATTTATACTTTAATAATAATCTTTTTTTATATAAGTAATTTTAAATTCAATATAATTATAAATTTTATTCTAAAAATTTAAATAAAGTATTATTACTAATAATCTTTAAATTCATTATATATCTTTATTATTTTTTCTTTTTTAAGTAATTTTATTTTTTTAATTATAAATTTTACTTATATATTATTATTTTAAATTTGTACATATACAAATATTTTAAAATAGTAATAGTAACTGTATTCATAGTAATTATTTATTTTAATAATTTTAAAAGATTAAGATAATTATTATCTTCTTAATAAGATAATTTATATATAAGTTTTATTTCAAATAAAATACTCTTTCAATAGAGCAAGAAAAAATTAAAGATAGAATATATAATAAAATATATGTATTTATTATAAGAAAATATTAATTAACTACTCTTAACTTAGTAATTAACTACTTTTACCAAATTTAATTATTTTTCTTGATTACTTCTTAATTCTTTATATATAATATTTTCTCATTATGTTAATTATAAATTATTTTTAATATAATATTTCATCTAATTTACTTAAAAATAAGTAGAATCTCTAAAGAATTATTATAAAGAATATTTTTAAATTAATATGTAAAGTAATTAAGAATTGAAATTAGTAAAATATTAAAGATATTTATGATTAAAAAAAGAAAAAAAAGAAAAATTAATAATAACTAATTAGAAAATTATTAATTTAATAAAA